GGAATAGGTGGCGTAGAACACTATTTGGTGCAGAGGAGTAATCAAGAAATGCACATACGTACGCTTGGCAGCCCTTGTCTAGTCAGCTCAGAGAGTCGGAGATACACAGGCGAGAGAGGCAGCAGATATGCACATTGTGTTTGTAGAAACTGTGAACTACCCGACTAGGAATACTAGGGTGGGGGAACGTTCGCACATTACCGAACCCGATAATAAGGATCTGCTCCCCAATGGGCAGTTCAGTTCACCTATCACTTACTCTAGTTAGCGTTGTCGAACCAGTCGTTTTCAGAGTGCCGTAGTCCAAATCCTAATACTATACTTTGACATCATTCATGAGACCACTTTGCGGTTTCGGGAGCAGACCGGTTCTCACAAGCCGCCCGTTTACAGTATATGTGCTAACTCATGAAATATTAACCGAAATTCCGAAATGTGTTTTCGATTCGAAAAATTACTTAAGTAAGGTTGTAATATTGATCACCGTGCAGCATAATCCCATGACGATTCAGTTACTCCGGGATACCGGCTTTCGAACGAACTCCTTTCCGGCTGCAGGCGAAAACTACATTCTGCAAAAAATGACTATTTATGTAGATAGATAGATAGATAGATAATTTTTATTAAAGACCCGTCGGGGTCCCATCAAAGAATGAATTGTTCTCACTGATTTTCGAGACTGTTATAAATTCAAATATGTTTCATGGAAAACATGCATAAAATATCCCTTGTTTTGTTCATTTCGTAGCAAATTACGTCTTCTTTAAATTTTGTACCTGAAGGAAGGATATAATTCGGTTCTAAAAAACGTTTCGATTTCCGAATAATTTTGACCTTGACCCACCGCCATGCTTGCAATCAGGGTTTTCAAACTCCGTAAGGAAAATCATGCATTTCTATACTCTACTAAGAAGAGAACATATGGGATTCATAAAATTTAACAGTGGATCTGAGCCATATTGTAAACTTTACAAGCAACATTAGTAAACGCAGAGGCACGATAGTTTATGAACGGGCATTTTATGGTCTTAAAAAATCTCATAATTTGAAACTATTTCAAAACGGAATCCTGGTCTTTCTTCAGGCATGAAATCTAAAGAAGGCGTAATCTCCTACCAAAGGAGTAAAAGAATGAATATTTTTATGCATGTTTTCTATGAAATATATTGAATTTGCAAGAGTCTCGAAAATCAGTGAGAACAATTCATGCTACATAAATATTCATTTTTCGCAGACTGCAGTTTTTGCCTGCGGCCGGAAAGGAGTTCGTTCAAAAGGCAGTACCCTGGAGTAACTGAATTGTCATGGGATTATGCTGCAGGACGATCAATATTACAACCCTACTTAAGTAACCATTTCGAATCGTAAACCCATTTCGAAATTTTGGTTAATGTCTCATGAGTTAGTATATGTCCCAGGTCGTCTCCTTCTGAGCTTAGGTTAGTTTAATTCTGACCTTGAGACTTCCGTTATTAGATGACCCATTGAGTGACAGTTCGTGGACACCATGTCACTGAGCTCTCATAAAACTGTGAAATTTTGCAGGTTGTCAGGCGGAATTAAACTTTTCATGTTTTTGGCAGCACTGTCACCGTTGGTCGGCGACCGCTTCCCCAGAGCCAGAGGCTTATCTCATGAGTAGCCCTCTGCCCCGTGGGTGTGTCCCGGTAGCCACCTGTAAGATTGTCAGGCGGAGTTCGTCAGTTGGTATGAGCTTTGTCGATAGCTGCAGATAGCCTACATAATTGACAGTTAACTGAACGGCATTGACATGACTGGGGCAGCCATGAGCGGCAAGAGTGAAAAGCTGGCGAGATACCTCACTCCCTATGCGTAGGTAGTCCCGTCAAATGTACCCGATGATAGATCTGGTAAATAAGGCGCTTTTTAAAAATGACACACCTGAAGAGGCATTACAGCCTTGCACAAATATCCGTCACTGAAGTAAGCTTTTCTGTTATTGTTACTGTGGAGTCCAGAGCTTTCCTTTGACTTTTTGGACGGACTTGAAACCTCACCCTATCACATCTTTCTGACGGCAAGGCCCACTATCTCACTCTTTTGTTTACCTTGGGCTAATGCTTGTACAGAGAGGTTGTTTTGTTGATCTGTTCCACTATTCGTTTCTTTCAGAATATCAGACGTCATGTTTAACGAAATTCCAGACCCATAACTTTACTAGGAAATATTAAAAAACGAAGGAAATTTTCTTGTGTAACTTAGTACACTTATTGCGTGTAAGGCAACCCCGACGGCCTTCGCAAACTCCAACACCAGCCAAATCTCTATTTATATAAAAATGGACGGGTTTTCCCGTGTGTTGTAGGTAATCTCGGAAAGTACTGCACCGATTACACTGAGCTTTTGACACAACCTTGCCCGCGGATAGGGCCGAGATTTTTTATGCATACCTTTATAATTATGCAGATGGCACGCCTGTGATGAGTAAAAAACATGCTTTATTTCTGGCAAACAACGCCATCTGCTGTGGCCACTTGACCCGCATCCAGGCGGGCACACGTGCGCCCGCCGAGCCACTTGACCGACATACGCTCAAACGCACGTGCTCCACCCGACGGCCGCACTCACCCTCTGCAGACACTTGAACATGCCCTTCTCCCCCTGGGTCGATGCGACATAGGCAGCAAGGCAAACCACCCACCCTGCAGCAAAAAACACGCAACTCTTGGGCTCCGCTCGAACTTGCCCCACACTACCCACACAGTGGGGCAGTCACCGCTTCCTCTGGGATCCTAGGGCGTGACGACTGGATGCGGTTAACACCGTCCCCTCCCCCTCTCCAACACAACCCACATAATGGGGCTGTCACTCAGTGTCGGCTCAGTGTCGTGCAGCCAAGCTAGCGGAAGCCCGGCTACGGTCACGGCTACCGCGTTCTGCAGCTTCAGGTCTGCTTCATCCTGCAACAGAATGAATAATACCAGCTGAGAGTGGCTGAAAGACGCCAGCGAGGAACAGCGGACCAGCGTCAAATACGACTTCGTGCTCAGCATTCACGCTGCGCTCTGAAGAACACATTCATTTGCGTGACGCTGTTGTGAACGACGGTACGGAAAAACCTTTGGAAGACTAACGATTTCGCTATCCAACATATACCGGCAGTCGGAGATCGATTTCAACGCAGTATCCACTTACTCTTCGGGATGGTGCCGATGGATATCGCTTCAACGCTAGGATGATAATTCCAGTCAGTGACGAGGAAACACACGTGAAATGCAAAAAATCAAAGCAGAACGCCTGCCAGAAATGCTGCCGCAGGTACTGCAATTGAAAATAAGCGTGTTGATTATCATATTGCGAAATAACAACCAGCCGGAGCTTTGCAACGGCATGCGGCTTGCAGTAAAAAATAACTGAGCAACGTCGTGGAAGTAATTATCTTGACAGAACCTTTCATTGGCTAACAGGTCCTTATTTCTCGCATTCCACTGATTCCAACTGATATGCTATTTAAATTTAGGCGACTGCAACTCCCGATTCTATTGAGGTTTGCAATCACCATCAACGAAGTTCCGGGCTAATCTTTAGAAATGCGCGGTTTGAATCTGCAAACAGGTTGCTTCTCACGTGGCCAACGATATATTATGCGCTCCAGAGTCGAAAAACCAGACAATCTCTATATCTGCATGGATAATCGAACGACAAAAATATTATTCACCCACAGGCATCATGAAATTAAACATATTAGCAACGCGCCCCTTCCCTTTCCCTTTCATTTCATGAAACTGAGCTACAGCAACGCGTGGCCGGGCCCAGCTAGTAGACAATAAAATTATAAGACCAGCCCGGTCCTATAAACATAATCTAAGAAAACAAAGCTAAACTGGCATTTGCATCTGTGGCTACCAGACAAAGTTGCAAAAGATCGACTGCTGTACATGATGTAAAAAGTACGCCGGTGGGCCCATTTCGCACTTGAATTGGTATGCAATAAGTAGTGGTTGACGGATACAAAGCCAGTAGCAAGTCGTCATATGGGTTTTCACAAATTAATGATCAATTAGCTTGCATTTTTCCGACACCCTCACGCTTTTTTGAGAAATTGCAAGTGTCGTAAACAGGTGAAATCTCGTTTCGTTATCAGTCAACAGCCTCTTACTTGACATCGAGGCTAGGTACACTAAATTACCTACGATTTTGGGATTCAATAAATCACCCATTGGCTATCGCCCGCATGCATTCAATCAAGGAAATAAAATTGCAACGAGATGTCTAGGCAGGCCGAAATAGCAATTCCCAGCCCCATGATTTTCCGGCACTCGTGTTCTCCAGAATACAGCGAATCAACATATTGAACTTACACTCGATGTGGTGGTATCTGAGTACCACCTGCTCTGGTCATGCTAATTGGTCAGTCTGGGAGCGTCATGGGAGCATACGAAAAGGTAACTGGGACTAATGATTATAAGCCATCCTGCGCGCATATGCAAGTGCTGCTATGTGCACGCAGGTGAAAATGACACCGGTGATGAGGCAGTGGGTGCCTGAATAGGGGAGGGGGGGTGTTAACAGCAGCAGCAGGGAGGTTCGTCGCCACGGACAACTTCTATGGAAGCAAAATCCTCACCCCACACAATGCCGTGGCAAGCAAAACACTCTCGCACTAGAGGACCAACTTCCGTCAGCCTGATCCAGCCGAAGAGGCAGTAACGGCAGCTAAGGTCATGGACAGACTCGAACTACTACGACCTTCAAGCCAGACCCTGAACGGGAAGAGAAGTCAAACGCCAGTGGAGGAGAGTTTGCAGACTGTACAGAACGGATGAAGAATATACTTGAGCAAGTTGGCAGCCGGACGAGGGGCACATGTCTGGTGCCGCCGGAGCCGGCGTCCGCCTTCCTCAGGCCACTGCTAGTCAGCGTCCACCTTAGAGTTGATTGGCTGGTTTGCGGGGCTGTGATTGGCCGAACACCAGACAGAGCCTCCCTTTTTGCTAGAATCGGCCAGACGCGATGAGAGCATCAAACAGGGCCTCAGAATGTCAGACAGACGGCTGCCGCCGGTGAGTGCGTGAAAGTATGCGCTAGACGGAGGCGCGCGTAGGGTCATTACACAGGCGCGGGGACAAACTGACTAAGAATGGAACTTAATTATCAGGCCGATTTCCCTGCGACCAAGGTCGGAAACAACGGGACAGGTAAAAGCACGCGAACAAAATGTCATTGGGGTCCCTCAGTTGGAGAAAAATCATTGAAGGAGCCAAACACGCTGAATACACACAATGAGAAACCGATCTTCATATGGTCGGCTTGAAATTACAGATACTCAGATGTTTTATTGGTGAAACGGTCAAAGATATTCCGAATAGCATAACGTAAAAACTGTCTCCAAGAAACGAGTACGATTCGACCAATCGGCGTCCCTATTGACAACCATTAACTGAGGATAGTAACAGGGCCCGCGCTACTTCTCACCATAAGCTTCTAAGGAGTGAATTTGTCCACTGTGCCAGGGCCGCATATGAAGTGGGCACCTATATCTGCTAATAGAACTTCACACCTTCACATATCAAAAAAGATCCAGTCCTTCTGAGAAAAGGGTTCTGTGGTTTCTGGTTATCCGACCCCCCTCCCCGGATCTGAAGTCGATAAAATATCCAGATTGTCACGACCTCGGACTGCAATACCTGTTGGTATCATACTAATTTCGGCGCAAGGGTCCGTCGCTGTTCCTCACCCTCCTCTTACAAGTCGAAAGAGGGAATCCAGTCAGCCAGAGGATAGACGCGACCGTTTTCTCTGGCTCTGGTCGCACTTTCTATGTTTGCGACACTGCGACTCGCAGACGTTTCCTGGTGGAAACTGAAGCCCAGATCAGCGTTGTCCTCCAAACTCCAGCTGATCGTCGTTTCCCCAGCCCTGGTATTCGCCTCCAGCTGCCAACTGTTCTCCCATTCCCACTTTTGGCAGTCTGTCCCTCACCCTGAACATTGGCCTTCGTCGGTCATTCACCTGGATCTTTGTGATTGCTGATGTCCCTCATGCTATCCTCGGCTCGGACTTTCTTGCCGAGTTCGACCTCCTTGTTGACTGCCGACGTGCCCGTCTCCTCGACTGCACAACCGGCCCGTCTGTTCGTGGCCTTACTCACTTTACTGCCCTCACCAACTTATTTGTCCTGGATACAGATATTGCAAGCCCCTTTCGGGAACTGCTTCCTAGTCACCCCAACATAATCAAACCCTAGTTTCGCGGTGGTGAGGTCCAACATGATGTTATGAACCATATCCGCACCTCATATCCTCCCGTGTTTGCTCGGCCGAGACGACTAGCACCGGGGCGTTTCCAGGCCGCGAAGGCGGAGTTTGAACACATGCTGCAACTGGGAATAATTCGACCGTCCGAAAGCCCCGGTGGCGGCTACCGAACCCTCAACAGCGCTATCATTCCTGATCGGTACCCCGTGCCTCATCTGCAGGAGTTTGCTGGAGCCTTTTTCGGCAAAGCGGTTTTCTCGAAGATTGATTTGGTGCATGCTTTTCATCAGAGTCCAGTCGCCATGAGGACATTCCTAAAACCGTCGTCACTACACCCTTCGGTCTCTTTGATTTCATCCGCATACCGTTCGGTCTTCGTAATGTCGCCCAAACGTTTCAGAGGTCCATCGACCATGTCTTACGTGGCCTGCCCTTTGTGTACGCCTACATTAATGACCTCTTGGTGGCCAGCCGGAATGAGGAAGAACACAAAGAGCATCTTGCCTTGGTGTTTGACCGCCTTGACAAGTTTGGCGTTGTCATCAACCCCTCCAAGTGCGTGTTGGGTGTGCCTCCACTCGAGTTCCTCGACCATCCGGTCGACTCTGAAGGTTTGCGTCCCCTCCCCTCCAAGGATGAAGCAGTTCGTAATTTCCCTCCACCAAATTCCAAGCGACAGCTGCAGCGATTCCTCAGCATGGTCAATTTTTACCGCCGATTCCTACCAAACTGTGCTGACCTCATCCTGCCGCTCACCAACATGCTTTCTGGTCCCAAAGGTCCCCTCGAGCAGATTGGCGACGCACTGACTACTTTTGAGAGAATCAAGAATTTTGTTGCCGACGCCACTTTACTCACGCATCCCGCTCCCGAAGCTCAGTTGTCCCTGACGGTGGATGCTTTGACCGTAGCCGTAGGTGCAGTCCTTCAAAAACACCTTGCTGGTTCGACTCGACCACTTGCCTTTTTCTCCAAAAAGCTCTTACCATCTGAGACACGCTACAGTACCTTTGGCCGTGACCTATTTGCCATTTACCTGGCTGTGAAGAATTTCCGACATTTTCTTGAACGTCGGGACTTCATTGTTTTCACCGACCACAAACCGTTGACTTTTGCACTTCGTTCCCACCCCGACAAGTACAATCCGAGGAAGATCGTCATCTGGAGTACATCTCCCAGTTCACCATCAACATCCGCCACATTGATGGCGCGAAGAACGAGGTGGCTGATATGCTGTCCAGGCCCTCACTGTCTTCCCTTCAACCCTCACACGGGATCGATCTTTGTGCCATGGCGGCTGAGCAACAGCGAGTGGGTTGTCCTGGCGACGAGTCTGTTAGTGGTCTCCAACTCAAAGACGTTCCTCTGACCACCGGCTCTGGTACCATACTTTGTGACGTCTCGACTCCTTTTCATCGCCCTTTCGTGCCCGCCTCGATGCGTCGAGCTGTATTTCAAACTCTGCATGGACTGTCCCACCCTGGGATCCGAGCCTCTCAAAAGCTCTTCGCGAAAGGTTTATCTGGTCTGGCATGGACAAGGACCTCAAACCTTGGGCCCGATCGTGTCTGAATTTCCAGCGCGACAAGGTGCAACGTCACAACAAATCCCCACCAGGCACTTTCGCCAGCCCCGACGTACAGTTTAGCCGTGTGCACCTGGATGTCGTAGACCCCTTGCCTCCATCCAGTGGTTTCACCCACCTCCTTACCTGTGTCGATCGATATACCTGCTGGGCTGAAGCCATTCCTTTGTCGAATGCGCAGGCTGAAACAATCGTCAAGGCCTTCGTCAGTCGTTGATTCGCCATGTTCAGTGTCCCATCCACGGTTACGACTGCTCGTTGTGCCCAGTTTGAATCTGCACCCTTCCAAACGCCACTCAATTTTATTGGCTGCACACGCATTCGGACAACATCCTACTATCCAGCTGCCAACGGTATGGTTGAGCGTCTTCATCGTCAGCTAAAGACCGCCCTGCGTGCCGTAGAAGACCCAGAAAACCGGTCAGACAACTTTCCTCTTGCACTCCTTGGCATCCGCGCAGCTCTGAAGTCGGATCTCGGCTGTAGCGCAGCTGAATTGGTTCTCGCCACTACCCTCCGAATGCCGGGCGAGATGATCACCCCAACATCTCGTGGAGCCGACGAGATTCCTGACAACTTTGTGCACCGTCTGCGGCAATTTATGCGCTCGCCTTCCCCGATTCCACCTCGGACTCCAACGACTGAGTCTTATGTCAAAAAAGACTTGGACAACTGCACTCGCGTTCGTCCGGTGTGACCGTGTGCACCAGCCGCTGGAATCACCATACGAAGGACCGTTACGCGTGCTCGCCCGCAACGCCAAGACCCGCCGGATTCTTCGCAGTGACAAAGAGGAAGTGGTCAGTGTCGATTGGGTCAGGGCTGCTGTTGCAGAGAGCCGCCGGACCTGTCACAAGGACAAAAGTGTGCTGACCCCCTGACCCCTGTTCTTCCATCTTCACTATCCCCTGCTCATTCACCTTGCCCACTCCCTCCCCTTCCCTTCCCTTCCCTCCGTCCCGCATACCTCCTCCCCCCTTCGTGTCTACAGCATCCAACTGCAACATCGTTCTCCACCATAGCACACAATCAAGCCTCCACGACTGTACCTCCTGCATATATCACTCGCACTGGCCGTCACGTTCATTTCCCCGATCGTTTATTTACTCATTTTTTCTAGACTTATGCATATCCTCCGGCGCCGTGTTATGTCGCCCTCCGGTCAATTAAGGGGGTAATGTGGTGAGGTACCGGACTAAGTTACCTTTGACAATTTAGTATAGTTTTCTTTGCCCGGATTGCTCGTTTGAATGTGACGAAGAACAGCACACATGTAGAACCCGCTTTGCTGACCTGCTTAGCTATCGTGCTCTGTTATCAGGTTACGTAACGTTCAGAATTTCTATATTATTCACCGGTCGGCTTTACTTGCTGACTTTACTGCTTGGGGCTCGTGAGGCATAACTCGTTAGTAAGTGAGAACATTACCAATCACGTTATGTGTTTAGCAAGGCAGGCAAAAACTCATTACCCAGCCGACAGTGATGACAATATCTTTATGATAGAAGTACTTCACAAACAATCGTTCTACTTACAAAGTCCAAGTAGGCGAATTGTTTTGGCAGTTTACGATGACATGGGCATTTTTACACTTTCATTTATACTAGAAGAAAAGGTTTTCAGAATTATCAAAAATTGGTGTAATTTGATCGAAGTTTTGACCGTATTTGGCGATGTAAATTCTGCCATCAGCCTGGCGTTTTTAGAACTCCGAATCAATTACTTTTGTGCGATGATGGACACGACTTTCTGGTGGTGCGTTCATTTCCGCGCGTGTTGTTTGAAGTTCCGAACCAAAAAACGTATGCTGACGAAAATACTAGTATGTGCAGCAACAACGGGGATAAGAATAAGTGTCGTCAATGAATTGGTTGACATATTTTCGAATATAATTGTGTTTCCGTACGGCCTACAATTGAGGATTTCCGTGTGATGCGCTAGAAGACAGCCCGGAAAGCGTGGCATTGTCATCGATTTGTGCGGTGAAAGGGCTGAGGGAGGCAGCACAAATTTCTGCCTTGTCAGCTTTTTTGGTCAAAGGACAACAAGCAAAAAGGTCACATAAGCCACTGCGCCTAGTGTCACCATCAGTTTGTTGACGGGCTCAAACGATTGACTGGTGAGTGGGAGAGTGGAATCGATGCTAAATTAGAGTTCATATTCCTGGCAAATCAGCGCCTTCCTCATTTCAGTCAGTCTGACGTGATTTGCTTTACCACGCCGTGCTGACGGTCCTGACTTGGACGGTTGCCAATCGACAGATGCAAAAGGTTTTTACTGTGCCCTCTTCAGCACTCCTGCTCTCGCGCGATTCATATTGTTTGTGGCACGCGCAGGGAGGATGCCAGCTTTTCGGCCACTACGGTCACGCCAACCTGGTTTTATTTTACCCCTTGGGTACGGTGGCTTGGAAGGAGACAGTAACACAGAAGCAGCGCAAATCTCCACCGCTGTAAACAAACATACGCGTAAGTCACCGCTGAACCCAACACGTGAGCCATCGATGCTCCTTGTCCTCCTCAACGCTCAAACTATCGCAAAGTTCAATGCGACCTCGTAAATCGCTCGCAAATATCGCTTGGTTCCTCGCGATGCTCAGAATCATCAGTATGTGCGAAAATGATGCAGCTTACATCCATATTTGTACTTTACTTCTAGCGGCGCTGGGCGGCTTTGCCGTATCCATTGGGATAGGCGTTGACGCGCAGGGCGAGGCAGCATGCCCCACAGGAACAAGTGAGAGGCGGGTCAGGCTGGAAACGCATCTCTATCCCCGTATCGATGAGGTTTGTTCAAGAATGCTACTGTTACTGAGAAAGCCTGTGAAACAGCTTGGTTAGTGTGTCGCCTTTGGTATTCACTTGGTGTGTCCTATTGAAAGCGAAGCCTGAAGAATGTGTTATTCATTACAGCCATTAGCACAATAGGCATTTAAGCTTTTAATCGCATCAGCTACAATAAACATGCTAACAAACCCGTTCACGAGGGGCACGCTTCGGATATTCTCAAGTCCCTCATTAATGCTATCTGTGCCCTTGATGCCAAATGTTTGCCGAATTGTGGTTTTGGGCAGGGAGCTCGAGACTGATAAATGTCATGGAGTGCATTTACCAGGTTTTCTTGTAAGAAACGCCTCTAAAAATGCTTCCGCTCCCCCATACAGTGTAAACTTGATCGATAGACACGCCTGCTTTTGGGTGTCTAGGGGAGCAGCTACGTTCAATAATGCTTAAGCCTACTGATTTGGCCGTTTAGGCGACTTTTCTCCAGCCTACGCATGAAAACACTGGTTGAAAGAAGACCAGGGGACGAGCCCGTAACAAATCTGTCCTGCTTTCTGTATGGGCTGTCGTCAAATAAATAACCAGGGCGTTTGGTGTGTATCCTCGTGTTAGCCAGTTGAGTGTATTTACCGGTATTTCTGTTGCCGGATGGTTTGTCCACGGGAAGTTATGGAAGAAAAGGTAATGAGATGTTAGACGAGAGCGTCAGCATTTAATTTAGGCCGAGGTCCTTGACTTCGTCAAGGCATTAAAAGCTGACCCGATAATTATGTGATAATGTTAGACTTTCAATATTGCATGGTACGGGAAGCTTTGAAAACCTATAATTGAGGCAACTGACAGGGTGTTCTTGTGGTTCTTCACATGCATTTTTTGACGTCACTCCAGGAACTAATAATTCGAGCTACACGGGCAGCCACAAGTTCTCTTTGTGCCCCCCCAGATGATGCTGACTGTCTCTAATTATTTTTCCTCCATCCCTCACATATTGCCTACGCTATACGACGAAAACGGCTCACTTTCTCTAATTACCAGCATGCTTCAGTTAGTCCGATGGCCGCATACATATAGGGGCCTAACATGAAAATACCAGCAACAAACGTGTGTCATTGCAACTTGTCACCGGAATCCTTCAATGTGAACGTTTACAGCGTTGAAACTAGAGGCGGAGGGTTAGAGGGTCATTAAGTTCGAGTGTGGGCAAAGTTTGGTCCTGCGGGCCCACTTGGTGAATACTATATGGTTAGCTTCCTGGAACAATTTTAGTTAATGTACCTAACTTAAAAACTCGCTGGATTAGGAAGGGAAAGAGAGCGCAAGCAGGGAAGCGGGTTTGAGCCAATGCTTGGTGTAAACAACGGTGGGATGTATAGACCCTCCCGCGAGACGGTCGCTCTCTGGACTAAGAGGATAGGGAGGGTCCAATCACGACCAGAAGACCGCGGAGGGGACCGCGATTTAATTCGCAGTGAATGGCCACTATACTGGAACCGGAAGAGTTCCATTTCGTCCGAATAATGCCATTGGCATGCCTATTTGGCGGACGCAAACAGGGTTCGAAGCACGCGCAGGGAAGCGGGTGTGAACCGATAACTGACGTAACCGAAGATGGCGTATAAGCACTTCCCCGTGGCACAGACACTCGTTAGAGGCGCAAAAATGCGAGGAATGTACAGTTAGCTTAATCGCAATAACTAAAATTGTTTTAGAAAGCGAAACGTCAAGCCCATAGACTTTTCGTTCTAGCGATCGCATCTTCCTCTTCTTCTAAACCTTGCCACGTAAATTTATTCGTCCATTCAGACATTTTCGAATGTGTGTGCAACTTCCTTTAAAGTGTCATCCGAAGTAATTGAGTGTTCCGACTTGAAATACTAGCACAAACATTTTAAGTAATGCTGTGTTTTCAATTCAATGTCTAACAATTAGTCGTTTGAAAGAAGCGAAATGGTGCTTGATTTCCTGAACAAACTTAGTGGATCATCCAGTGTGTCACCTTTTCAAATGCGGGAAGACGAAGGCGCTGACAGGATGGCACAAAACCGATGCGGTTGCAATAAGGGATATTTTATGCTGACAATCGTTCTTGATTCCTATAAGTCTGACCGATCAATACATTTTAAAATTCTGTATGTTTTAAAATTCTGTATGTTTTAAAATTCTGTTTTAAAATATCCTTCTAAATAAAGACAAAAGTGTGGGCTTCATCCTAGAAAACAAGATACTCCTACTAGACATCCAAAACAAAGGTACGACTGGATATTTGCTGTTTTGGAACCGCGGACTCTTGGCAATCGGCGTATGATCGATCGAAAGCCCGAACACGGGAATCAGTTCCGCAACAATTAAAGCAAGTGCATCGGTTCTGAAAAATATACTATTAGAGATAAATGAGGCCGTATGCAACTGCTCGGAGCTGAAAGACTCAAATATGCAGCAAATGAATACACACACTTTTAATAAGTTGAAAGAAAGCCAGTGAGATCGATTTTACGTTACGGGGTGACGACGCGCATATGACCTAAAAGTTATTCATGATTTTTATTTATACAAATAGTTGTTAGGATAAAATCTCATTCTTTCGAAACACACCTTTGTTCCACATAAAGACTTTGAAAGAAGAGCACTGTGCCGAATGAATTCTATCTGAAAATCTAGGCAAAAAATGTAACCGAATATCGGGACTCGAGTAACAAAGTTACCTTTTATACTAGCCGTTTTATGAGACTGAAATGAAAGGCTTTTCTCGGTGCATATACATGGGCGACTTTTATCGCTTGGGTTTAACCAAGCCTTATAGCACTGACTGGACTATTTGGATACCTTTTGACATATGCAAGGGTGCTTCCTGGTCTTTGGTGAAGGGGATTTTGAATGTTCTTTATTGCAAATTTCATAGTAAGATAAGGATGCA